CATTTTATTTGCAACGTTGTGCTCACTCTCCAGGAGCTTCATCAAGTCACATTGGCTTTTGGAAGCTGGAAGCACAAATGCTCCAAATCATAGTTGCAAATCGCTCCAGACTTTTTAAGAGGTAAGTCAGAATCATCTGTGACTTTGCATGGCAATTCTAATAGTCAAAGAAATAACATAAGTGAATACTATAGTATTTACACTCATCCATAATTTGTGGGGAAGTTGATTAAATTTAAATTACGGAAATAGTAGTAGCACCTAAACACAATGAATCAAGGACATTTATTAGTTTCTCTCCAAGGACAATCCAATCACAGCTTGATCACTGACACTAAACCCACAATGTCCCATGGAGCTTCAAAAAGACAAACTTATAAGGAATCAGTCCTAAATCCACAGAGATGAAAGAAATGATCTCACTCTACCACCTATTACACATCACCCAAGAGAGTTTGATAACTATATGTATATTTGACCTCAATACCATTCTCTCTATGGGTAGAGGTCCAACAATTATATACAGAGCACATAATGGGTCCAGGGACAAGCTCAAAGCTAATGATAAATAAACACAGTTACAATGGTAATGCTATTTGCATGTTTAACTATCTGGTACAATCATAATTGAGTTATTATTACCAACCCATCGGGGAGAATCATATTATTCAAAATAATGGCCAAGATACTTCTAACTATATAAAAAAACAATTCTGTGAATAAGCACATACACAGTCATCATAAATTCCAACTATAGTACCATGTAACACTTGACTCAACCACTAAATATGTCCAATTTTCCTTCATGGTATTAGACTGTTAAAGCCCTTGGTGGGCAGAATGTCCCCTCAATAAATGTGCTAAAACTGCGTACAAGAGGGCCCTGCTTTACAGTGCTTCAATTTACGGCATTTGGCTTGTGCAGTAAATATATTCACCAATCACTATATGCTGAAGATGAAAATATTTTAAGGCTAGTAATGTGTGCACTGTACGTATTTTTAAGGCCTAGCTCTACTTCTCACTTAATATATAATAGTGAAAACATGTTATTAGGCTTTTATGTGTGTTTGAAAGTGGGAAAAAAGCTACGATTCACTTAACAGCAGTAGCTCGGAACCTACCTTGCTGTATAAGCAAGGGGTCCTCCTGTATTAATCTTACATAAATAATGTATACAAAAATGGTCTAAAATCATAACCATAATTTTTAAACGGGTGGACTGGTAAGCCAGTGGAAGGCCTTGGTCAAATGCTCTCGCTTCACACAGTGAGGGTCCGGGTTTGATTCCTGGCAAAGGGGTGGAAACAATGGACGTGTTTCCTTACACCAGTTGACTATGTTCACTCATCAGTAAAATGGATACCTAAGGTGTTTGTAGACTGGTGTGGGTCGCATCCTGGGACAAAACTGACCTAATTTGCCCAAAATGTTCTGCATAACAAGCAGCTTTCTATGTATATAGTAGTATGTCACTGATGTCAGCTATGGTCTGTATACCTTGTACATGTACTTGTAGTAAATAAAGATATTATTATTATTATTATTATTATTATTAGTAGTAGTAGTAGTACAAATATTACACATAGTGTAAATTACTTAGGATAACCCCAAAAAAAAGGTTAGCCAAAGTGACTTATTTCCGTTGGGATCCTTGACCCCAAAAGTTCCAGCTGAGGGTCATCATATGACTAAGATTTGTGTCAGGAAGTACTTGTCCTGTTTCCTGACAAACCTTACCTAACCTAACCTATTAATCTCACTTGCATTGCTACGGGGTAGGCAGCTGGGGAGACCTTAACTAATATATAATAATAATAATAATAATAATAATAATAATAATAATAATAATAATAATAATAATAATAATAATTTTTATTTTGACATGATACATGGTTGAACAAAGGAATATTATAGTAAGGTGTTCATGCCAAAAAACCCTTTGTATGCAGAGCATTTCGGGCAAACTTAAAATTAACTTAAGATTAATAAGGCAATAACAGTTCATATGGTCATTAGATGAGTTACAATGAGTACAAGAGAATTGAGTATTCTATTAGGTAATTACTAGGGAAGAGGATAAAGTATTCTATTAGGTAATTAACTAGGGAAAAGGGTAGGTAATTAACTAGGGAAGAGGGTAGGTAATTAACTAGGGAAGAGGGTACGTAATTAACTAGGGAAGAGGGTAGGTAATTAACTAGGGAAGAGGGTAGGTAATTAACTAGGGAAGAGGGTACGTAATTAACTAGGAAAGAGGGTAGGTAATTAACTAGGAAAGAGGGTAGGTAATTAACTAGGGAAGAGGATAGGTAATTAACTAGGAAAGAGGGTAGGTAATTAACTAGGAAAAAGGGTAGGTAATTAACTAGGGAAGAGGGTAGGTAATTAACTAGGGAAGAGGGTACGTAATTAACTAGGGAAGAGGGTAGGTAATTAACTAGGGAAGAGGGTAGGTAATTAACTAGGGAAGAGGGTACGTAATTAACTAGGAAAGAGGGTACGTAATTAACTAGGGAAGAGGGTAGGTAATTAACTAGGGAAGAGGGTAGTAATTAACTAGGAAGAGGGTACGTAATTAACTAGGGAAAGAGGGTAGGTAATTAACTAGGAAAGAGGGTAGGTAATTAACTAGGAAAGAGGATAGGTAATTAACTAGGAAAGAGGGTAGGTAATTAACTAGGGAAGAGGATAGGTAATTAACTAGGAAAGAGGGTAGGTAATTAACTAGGGAAGAGGGTAGGTAATTAACTAGGAAGAGGGTAGGTAATTAACTAGGGTTAATGTCCACATCTGAAGTAAGCAAGTTCAATGTCTTTCAGTTATTATACAAGACAAGACAAGACAAGAAAGTTAATTAGGTAAGACCCCTATGTTGGGAGAGCTGGGAAGATGAGACAGGCGAAGAATAACATTGGAGAGGAGTGTCTATACTAGCAGAAGAAGTGCCAGCAGCTAGGAAATTATTATCCAGGAAAAATATGTGTACTGGGAATTTATTTGGGTAAAATTATTGCCTCGGTTTATGAAGGTTACAATCATTTTATATCAATGAAACCATCACATGTTTTCACACCAATATCACTTAGATAGCTGGGAAATACAGGGACTCTAATGGAAAATCAAGGACCCTAATGAAAAATCAAGGATCACAAAAAATATCACCCATGGAAAAAATCAAGGACTCCATTGGAAATAAGACCCTAATGAAAAAATCAAGGACTCCAAGGATGAATGGCTAGTGGAAAAATCAAGGACCCCATGGGGGAAATAAAGGCCCCACAGAAAAATCAAGGCCCCTTGGAAAATCAAGGTTCCCATCAGAAATAAGTCACTTTGACTTTTTGGGGTTATCCTATGTAATTTACACTATGTATGATAATTGTACCTGTGCTTAAATAACCTTTCTAACCTGCATGATCACGGTGAGATGGACAGAGTCAAGTCACCGTGACACAAAATCTACTAACACACCTGCAAACAAATCACGGTGGCCCGTGGCCTGGTGGCAGGAGCTTCACACACTGAAGTCCGGGTTCGATTCCCGGCGAGGGTAGAAACACTGGGCTTGTTTCTTTACACCGGTTGTCTACGTTCACCCATCAGTAAAAGTGGGTACTTTTAAGTGTTAGTGGACTGGTGTGGGTGGCATCCTGGGACAAAATTGACCTAATTTGCCCGAAATGTTTTGGATAACAAGCGGCTTTCTATATAGTAGTATGTCATTGATATCAGCTATGGTCTCTTTACCATGTACATGTACTTGTACAAATAAAAACATTATTATTATATAGAAATATACCTAGTTGGATGAATCTCATTGTAGGCACCTGGCCAAGTGGTTAACGCACTGGCCTGCGAGTTTTGCGACTAACTTGCCATGGGTTTTAAACCCCACCCGTACCTTGATTTAATTTTAAAAGTGTCTGGCTTAGTTCCATGAAGGTCTTGTGTCTATTATATTCTTGTAGGGACCCTACAGCGCCTGTGGAATGGAAGATAACCTGTCTTGATAAATTAGACACAGTGCAGCTCTTGGGTATCTTTAGGAAGGAGTTTGAGGTAATCAGTCCCTTAACCTGGAGTCGATGTAAATACTTTCTAAGGTTGTTGGACTGATTACCTCTTTCTGATCCTTACCATTCTTCTTGGACTGATGAAGTCACTGTAGGGCGAAACGTTTCCTAAAGACACATATTGATGTCTTGATGCTGGAGAAGGTTCCTGGGCGAAGGAATCTGAGCTAAATTTCCCTTCTTCGGCTCAAATTTGATTTTGTATACCCAGGTATACTCCAGGTATACCCAGGTTCTGGATGACCCTTCTGGGTGTTACTTCTCCCTTTGATTACGACAAAAATATTTTGACTTCTAGGGGTAGCTGGACAGACACCTAAAGTCAGTACCTGACCAGCCAGGCTATGGTTTGCACGTTGGTATACATGTGGCTAGCAGTAACAGCCTGGTTGACCAGGTCCTGATTCACACGAGGCCTGGTCATGGACCGGGCCGAGGGGGCGGTGACCCAAGGAACACCCTGGAGTTTACCTGGAGTCAACGCCCCCGCGGATCGGTCTGAGACCAGGCCTCATGGTGGATCAGGGTCTGATCAACCAGGCTGTTACTGCCCTCCAGGTATATTCTGAGAAACTGAAGGTTACAACACACGTAGACAGGGCAACATTTCCATTGGTATTCTATCTACATATGGGATACCAGTAAGTTTATTTAGATACAGGTATACATAAATACACTTACACAAATTATCATACATAGTAACATGTATAAATTACCTAAAACAACCCCCCAAAAGGTAAAAATGACATATTTCCACTGTGATCCTTGTCAATGATTATACCACTGCAATAACCTCCATTATATAAGTACTTATGCTTATCTCATCCCAATATAAGTATATACTTAAGCAAGAGTAAACAATAAAAAGAAAATATTAGAATTGAGAACTCAATATATTGAAGCAAGTGGATGGTTGTAGTCGACCTTGAGTTAGTTGGCAACCAGCAGTACCAGTGTCAGCATGAGTGTGTCAGCAGTGAGACAATGGCTACAACACAACAAGCTTCTCACTTGTCTTGGCCAGAAATGGTCTCCATCACCTGTGAAATCATTCAGAAGGTAAAGAATTATATACGTGGTTATTCACACTTTCACCAGAGGTGGACAGTGTGTGTGTGTGTGTGTGTGTGTGTGTGTGTGTGTGTACTCACCTAGTTGAGGTTGCAGGGGTCGAGTCCAAGCTCCTGGCCCCGCCTCTTCACTGGTCGCTACTAGGTCACTCTCCCTGAACCATGAGCTTTATCGTACCTCTGCTTAAAGCTATGTATGGATCCTGACTCCACTACATCGCTTCCCAAACTATTCCACTTCCTGACTACTCTGTGGCTGAAGAAATACTTCCTAACATCCCTTTGATTCATCTGTGTCTTCAACTTCCAACTGTGTCCCCTTGTTACTGTGTCCAGTCTCTGGAACATCCTGTCTTTGTCCACCTTGTCAATTCCTCTCAGTATTTTGTAAGTCGTTATCATGTCCCCCCTATCTCTCCTGTCCTCCAGTGTCGTCAGGTTGATTTCCCTTAACCTCTCCTCATAGGACATACCTCTTAGCTCTGGGACTAGTCTTGTTGCAAACCTTTGTACTTTCTCTAGTTTCTTTACATGCTTGGCTAGGTGTGGGTTCCAAACTGGTGCCGCATACTCCAATATGGGCCTAACGTACACGGTGTACAGGGTCCTGAACGATTCCTTATTAAGATGTCGGAATGCTGTTCTGAGGTTTGCCAGGCGCCCATATGCTGCAGCAGTTATTTGGTTGATGTGCGCTTCAGGAGATGTGCCTGGTGTTATACTCACCCCAAGATCTTTTTCCTTGAGTGATGTTTGTAGTCTCTGACCCCCTAGACTGTACTCCATCTGCGGTCTTCTTTGCCCTTCCCCAATCCTCATGACTTTGCACTTGGTGGGATTGAACTCCAGGAGCCAGTTGCTGGACCAGGTCTGCAGCCTGTCCAGATCCCTTTGTATATCTGCCTGGTCTTCGATCGAATGAATTCTTCTCATCAACTTCACGTCATCTGCAAACAGGGACACCTCGGAGTGTATTCCTTCCGTCATGTCGTTCACAAATACCAGAAACAGCACTGGTCCTAGGACTGACCACTGTGGGACCCCGCTGGTCACAGGTGCCCTCTCTGACACCTCGCCACGTACCATGACTCGCTGCTGTCTTCCTGACAAGTATTCCCTGATCCAGTGTGGTGCCTTCCCTGTTATCCCTGCTTGGTTCTCCAGTTTATGCACTAATCTCTTGTGTGGAGCTGTGTCAAACGCCTTCTTGCAGTCCAAGAAAATGCAATCCACCCACCCCTCTCTCTCTCGTCTTACTGCTGTCACCATGTCATAGAACTCCAGTAGGTTTGTGACACAGGATTTCCCGTCCCTAAAACCATGTTGGCTGCTGTTGATGAGATCATTCCTTTCTAGGTGTTCCACCACTCTTCTCCATGACTTTGCATACTATACATGTCAGTAACACTGGTCTGTAGTTTAGTGCTTCATGTCTGTCTCCTTTTTTAAAGATTGGGACTACATTTGCTGTCTTCCATGCCTCAGGCAATCTCCCTGTTTCGATAGATGTATTGAATATTGTTGTTAGGGGTACACATAGCGCCTCTGCTCCCTCTCTCAATACCCATGGGGAGATGTTATCTGGCCCCATTGCCTTTGAGGTATCTAGCTCACTCACTCCTCGGTTGTGTGTACTGTGTCCAGCACATGGTGGTGTACCCCACCTCTCCGTCTTTCTGGAGCTCCTTCTGTCTCCTCTGTGAACACTTCTTTGAATCTCTTGTTGAGTTCCTCACATACTTCACGGTCATTTCTTGTTGTCTCTCCTCCTTCCTTCCTTAGCCTGATTACCTGGTCCTTGACTGTTGTTTTCCTCCTGATGTGGCTGTATAACAGCTTCGGGTCAGATTTGGCTTTCGCTGCTATGTCGTTTTCATATTGTCTTTGGGCCTCCCTTCTTATCTGTGCATATTCGTTTCTGGCTCTACGACTGCTCTCCTTATTCTCCTGGGTCCTTTGCCTTCTATATTTCTTCCATTCCCTAGCACACTTGGTTGTGTGTGTGTGTGTGTGTGTGTGTGTGTGTGTGTGTGTGTGTGTGTGTGTGTGCTCACCTAATTGTGGTTGCAGGGGTCGAAACTCAGCTCCTGGCCCCGCCTCTTCACCGAGTGCCACTAGGTCCTCCCTGCTCCTTGAGCTTTATCATACCTCATCTTAAAGCTATGAATGTTTCCTGCCTCCTGTGTGTGTGTGTGTGTGTGTGTGTGTGTGTGTGTGTAGTGTATGTGTGTGTACTCACCTAGTAGTGGTTGCAGGGTCGATTCATAGCTCCTGGCCCCGCCTCTTCACTGCTCGCTACTGAGTGCATATGTGTTTGCAGATTAATGTATTATCACAACTAATGTTTCCATTATATATTACCTGTTAGGATATATCTTTAACGAGGTGTATATCTGTGAGTGTATATACATAGGCAGATGTGTATGTCAGAATACATACTGAGCTGAAAAAGGACAAGCATATGTAAGGAAGCATACAAACTATATACCTTAAGAGAGTGTATAGTTAGGGTATGATGGTGGTGGTGAGGGTATTGATCTGAGGGTATACCTGGAGGGCACTTCATGTCTGATAATACTGTTGTTTATCTATCTTATCTGTTGTGAGTGTACATGTCTATTTGTGGTTGCATGGGTCGAGTCTCGGCTTCTGGCCTCCTCTCTTGCTGCTAGTTTGGTTCACCCCCCTTCCCTCCTAGCTTGGTCATCGTGCCTTCTCTGACAGCCCTGAGATTGAAGAAATAATTCCTTAAATTCCTGAAATCCAGAAATAATTCCTGAAATTCCTAAAATCCAATGTATCTTTAATTTCACATTTCCCTCGTGTACCAGTTTCCGCCTCTCAACCAGACTGTCTCTCTGTCCATCTTATCAAATCCTCTTGAACATATTTATTTATTTAATCTCCCCTAACTACTTGAGCCTTTTATTTTCTAAAGTCATCAGGTTCATTTTCTATAGTCCCTACCTTAGTTCTTGGATTAATCACATTATAAATTAATTTCTTGACGTATCAGGTATGGGTTTCATGCTGGTGCTGTATACTCTAATATGTTACAGTTTAATATGTTTATTATGCACCCCATACCCATCCTGTGGGCGGTAGTCAAAAGATTACAGAGGTACATAATGGGTCCAGGGACTGGGCCTCAAAGTTTTGATGGCTGAGCAAGTTACAGAGGTAATGAATTCACAATTTACAAAGGTAATGAACTCACAATTTACAAAGGTAATGAACTCCAGGTAGGTCTAGTCACAATCATGACAAGTTACAAAGGTATTTACATATTACAGAGGTACACAATGGGTCCAGGGACTGGGCTCCAAAGTTTTGATGGCTGAACTAGGTACAAGGTAATGAACTCACAAGTTACAAAGGTAATGAACTCACAAGTTACAAAGGTAATGAATACTGTAAGAATGGTTACTTACGTTTATACATGGCTACAATCATGAAAAAATTTTAGAGTAATGAGCAATTCACACTTCCACACCCGGTCACAACTGTAGTGAGTTATTGGTGCAAGTGTGTGTGTGTGTGTGTGTGTGACTCAACTCTAATATAGGCCTGACACTTGTATATAGAGCCATAAATGACTTGAGAGTCCTGAAAGCTAATCTTAGATTTGCCTAACACGCATTTACTAGACAGGCGAGTTTATGTACGCCCGTGGTGACATGCTCGGTGCCATGCTCACCCCAAGATCTTTTTTTACTAAATTTTTAAGCTGTCCCCTGAGACTGCACTCAGGGGACAGCTTGTCTGACCACTACTACTTGGGGAAAATATTTAGATTTCTCCCGGTATGACCCTTGCGGGTTGAAGGCTTCCCCGTAACTATAACAATAATTATCTTTCTTCTTAGGCAGCGTAGTAGTGAGACCCTGAGCTGGAGCTATGTATCTAACCCAGGGACATGGCCCTTACTGGGGATCCATCTGGGCCAGATGGTGGACAGAGCCGAGGACATGTTTGGTGACAGAGAAGCCATTGTCTCCATCCAACAAGGCAAGAGGAGGACTTTCTCTCAAGTGAAACAGGAGGTACTAGAGACAGCAGCAGCTAAGATTAATATCTCTATATATAAGTAATCAATTAGTTATTGCCTTATTAGTCTTAAGATAGGCTAAGTTTGCATGAAATGTCCTGCACACTAAGGGGCTTTCTTCATGCACTCCTAAATGTCACCCATCTCTGTATACTGTATCATATTGAAGTATATAGGCCATAATCCACCATGAGGCCTGGTCACAGACCGGGCCTCGGGGGGCGTTGACCCCCGGAAGTCTCTCCAGGGGCTGGGATAATCTGAATCAGATGGACCTGACACGTGGTGAATCAGGGACACGCAAGTCAGATGGGGTTTCCACCACTGTGAGGCTTCAGTTAAAATTATCACGTTAGACAAGAAATTAATCGAAGATTCCGTCAGATTTGTGAGAATTTGTTTTTCACTAATCTTACTTAGGCTAGGCTAGGTTAAGTTAGCGAGGCTAAGTTAAGTTAGCTAGGCTAGGTTAAGTTAGCGAGGCTAAGTTAAGTTAGCTAGGCTAACCATACCACGGGCGGGATTTGAACCCGCGGTCAGAGAGTCTCAAAACTCCAGACCGTCGCGTTAGCCACTGGACCAGCTAGCCACAATAAGATTCCTCCAACTAGGTATATCTCTGACCGCGGGTTCAAATCCCGCCCGTGGTATGGTTTGTTTGCAATCGTGTCATTACGATTTCGTGAGTTATGTTAGCTAGGCTAAGTTAAGTTAGCTAGGCTAGGTTAATTAGCGAGGCTAGGTTAAGTTAGCGAGGCTAAGGTAGGCTAGACTAGGTCAAGTTAGCTAGGCTAGGTTAAGTTATCTAGGCTAGGTTAAGGTAGGCTAGACTAGGTTGAGGTAGGCTAGACTAGGTTAAAGTAGGCTAGACTAGGTTAAGGTAGGCTAGACTAGGTTAAGGTAGGCTAGACTAGGTTAAAGTAGGCTAGACTAGGCTAAGGTAGGCTAGACTAGGTTAAGGTTGGCTAGACTAGGTTAAGGTAGGCTAGACTAGGTTAAGGTTGGCTAGACTAGGTCAAGTTATCTAGGCTAGGTTAAGGTAGGCTAGACTAGGTTGAGGTAGGCTAGACTAGGTTAAAGTAGGCTAGACTAGGCTAAGGTAGGCTAGACTAGGTTAAGGTTGGCTAGACTAGGTTAAGGTAGGCTAGACTAGGTTAAGGTAGGCTAGACTAGGTTAAGGTAGACTATATTAGACTGGTCATACGTACTTATGTGTACCTTTACCTAAATAAACTTACTCGGGGGAATTTTATGGACCAAGTTTCGGTCCTGGGACCTTCTACATTTGGAGTGACCATGGTCCCAGGACCGAACCACTTCCAAGCGGCTTATTAGACAGCACAAGCTTCACGAGGTATTTAATTCCAGAGTCAACAGATAGCAGCTGGTCTTTTGGCTGTGGGTCTAGAGCCTGGAGACCGTCTGGGTATCTGGGCACCCAATACCTACGAGTGGTACCTCACATTGATGGCTGCTGCCAAGGCTGGTCTTGTACTGGTGAGATGTATTGATTATTTTAAGTTATTCCCCCCTCCCCATAGAGACAGAGTAATCCAAAAAAGAAAGCTTATTAACCATTACTTGCTCCTTGGTTGTCTTTCCGGTTCATGAACATGACTAATATTGTTGGTAGAATTGATGACAGTGTGTTATGTAATGGGACATATACGGTGGCCCGTGGCCTGGTGGCTAAAGCTCTTGCTTCACACGGTGATGTCCGGGTTCGATTCCCGGAGAGGGTAGAAACACTGGGCGTGTTTCGTTGCACCTGTTGTCTACGTTCACTCATCAGTAAAATGGGTATCTGGGTGTTAGTCGACTGGTGTGGGTCGCATCCTGGGACAAAACTGACCTAATTTACCCGAAATGCTCTGCATAACAACCGACTTATATATGGTAGTATGTCATTGATGTCAGCCAAAGCATTTCAATAAACTATCTTCCAGGTTTAATACCCTTCAAAGGAGGAACCGTGTGTTTTTGTACCCATAAAACCACTCTTGATCCTCTTGGAGTTCCCTCTCCCCATTATTTTTAAGCAAACATGAGTACCCGTCATTCCCCACACGGTAAATATCCCCCCAAAAACATAAAATACACATAAATTACCCACACATAAGAGAATGGAACTTAATGACGACGTTTCGGCCCGAGTTGGGCCATTAGTCGGACTGAAACGTTGTCATAAGCCTCATTGTTTTGTGTGTGAGCCCCTCAAGGAAGGTTCCTTGATGTTGGTGAGGGGCTCTTGATTTAGGGAATTGGATCTGTGCTCCAGTTCCCCGAATTAAGCCTGAATGCCTTCCACATCCCCCCCCCAGGCGCTGTATAATCCTCCGGGTTTAGCGCTTCCCCCTTGATTATAATAATAATAATTTGTGTGTGAGTATTTGTGTATTGTTTCAGACACGGTATTGTGTTCCTTTCACTTGTGTATCTGCTGAAGAGGGCGCCAGAAAGGGGTCGAAATATACAGATCAGTCAATCTCCTGAGTGTCTGTCTCCATGTGGGTTATTACTGAGCGTTTATAACTGCTTATTACACTTTAGTTATCCATAAAATACAAGTACAATGGGTTACTGCAGCAGGTTTACTGGCCCATACTAGGCAGTTTGTCATACCCACTCGTGTAACTATCCAGCCTAATTTTAAAGTTCTCCCTTCAGCAACGTGTGACAGATAGTGTGACTATCCAGCCCAGTTTTAAAGTTCTCCCTTCAACAACGTGTGACAGATAGTGTGACTATCCAGCCTAATTTTAAAGTTCTCCCTTCAACAACGTGTGACAGATAGTGTGACTATCCAGCCCAGTTTTAAAGTTCTCCCTTCAACAACGTGTGACAGATAGTGTGACTATCCAGCCTAATTTTAAAGTTCTCCCTTCAACAACGTGTGACAGATAGTGTGACTATCCAGCCTAATTTAAAGTTCTCCCTTCAACAACGTGTGACAGATAGTGTGACTATCCAGCCTAATTTTAAAGTTCTCCCTTCAACAACGTGTGACAGATAGTGTGACTATCCAGCCTAATTTTAAAGTTCTCCCTTCAACAACGTGTGACAGATAGTGTAACTATCCAGCCTAATTTTAAAGTTCTCCCTTCAACAACGTGTGACAGATAGTGTAACTATCCAGCCTAATTTTAAAGTTCTCCCTTCAACAACGTGTGACAGATAGTGTAACTATCCAGCCTAATTTTAAAGTTCTCCCTTCAACAACGTGTGACAGATAGTGTAACTATCCAGCCTAATTTTAAAGTTCTCCCTTCAACAACGTGTGACAGATAGTGTAACTATCCAGCCTAATTTTAAAGTTCTCCCTTCAACAACGTGTGACAGATAGTGTAACTATCCAGCCTAATTTTAAAGTTCTCCCTTCAACAACGTGTGACAGATAGTGTAACTATCCAGCCTAATTTTAAAGTTCTCCCCTTCAACAACGTGTGACAGATAGTGTGACTATCCAGCCTAATTTTAAAGTTCTCCCTTCAACAACGTGTGACAGATAGTGTAACTATCCAGCCTAATTTTAAAGTTCTCCCTTCAACAACGTGTGACAGATAGTGTAACTATCCAGCCTAATTTTAAAGTTCTCCCTTCAACAACGTGTGACAGATAGTGTGACTATCCAGCCTAATTTTAAAGTTCTCCCTTCAACAACGTGTGACAGATAGTGTGACTATCCAGCCTAATTTTAAAGTTCTCCCTTCAACAACGTGTGACAGATAGTGTGACTATCCAGCCTAATTTTAAAGTTCTCCCTCAACAACGTGTGACAGATAGTGTGACTATCCAGCCTAATTTTTAAAGTTCTCCCTTCAACAACGTGTGACAGATAGTGTGACTATCCAGCCTAATTTTAAAGTTCTCCCTTCAACAACGTGTGACAGATAGTGTGACTATCCAGCCTAATTTTAAAGTTCTCCCTTCAACAACGTGTGACAGATAGTGTGACTATCCAGCCTAATTTTAAAGTTCTCCCTTCAACAACGTGTGACAGATAGTGTGACTATCCAGCCTAATTTTAAAGTTCTCCCTTCAACAACGTGTGACAGATAGTGTGACTATCCAGCCTAATTTTAAAGTTCTCCCTTCAACAACGTGTGACAGATAGTGTGACTATCCAGCCTAATTTTAAAGTTCTCCCTTCAACAACGTGTGACAGATAGTGTGACTATCCAGCCTAATTTTAAAGTTCTCCCTTCAACAACGTGTGACAGATAGTGTGACTATCCAGCCTAATTTTAAAGTTCTCCCTTCAACAACGTGTGACAGATAGTGTGACTATCCAGCCTAATTTTAAAGTTCTCCCTTCAACAACGTGTGACAGATAGTGTGACTATCCAGCCTAATTTTAAAGTTCTCCCTTCAACAACGTGTGACAGATAGTGTGACTATCCAGCCTAATTTTAAAGTTCTCCCTTCAACAACGTGTGACAGATAGTGTGACTATCCAGCCTAATTTTAAAGTTCTCCCTTCAACAACGTGTGACAGATAGTGTGACTATCCAGCCTAATTTTAAAGTTCTCCCTTCAACAACGTGTGACAGATAGTGTGACTATCCAGCCTAATTTTAAAGTTCTCCCTTCAACAACGTGTGACAGATAGTGTGACTATCCAGCCTAATTTTAAAGTTCTCCCTTCAACAACGTGTGACAGATAGTGTGACTATCCAGCCTAATTTTAAAGTTCTCCCTTCAACAACGTGTGACAGATAGTGTGACTATCCAGCCTAATTTTAAAGTTCTCCCTTCAACAACGTGTGACAGATAGTGTGACTATCCAGCCTAATTTTAAAGTTCTCCCTTCAACAACGTGTGACAGATAGTGTGACTATCCAGCCTAATTTTAAAGTTCTCCCTTCAACAACGTGTGACAGATAGTGTGACTATCCAGCCTAATTTTAAAGTTCTCCCTTCAACAACGTGTGACAGATAGTGTGACTATCCAGCCTAATTTTAAAGTTCTCCCTTCAACAACGTGTGACAGATAGTGTGACTATCCAGCCTAATTTAAAGTTCTCCCTTCAACAACGTGTGACAGATAGTGTGACTATCCAGCCTAATTTTAAAGTTCTCCCTTCAACAACGTGTGACAGATAGTGTAACTATCCAGCCTAATTTTAAAGTTCTCCCTTCAACAACGTGTGACAGATAGTGTAACTATCCAGCCTAATTTTAAAGTTCTCCCTTCAACAACGTGTGACAGATAGTGTAACTATCCAGCCTAATTTTAAAGTTCTCCCTTCAACAACGTGTGACAGATAGTGTAACTATCCAGCCTAATTTTAAAGTTCTCCCTTCAACAACGTGTGACAGATAGTGTAACTATCCAGCCTAATTTTAAAGTTCTCCCTTCAACAACGTGTGACAGATAGTGTAACTATCCAGCCTAATTTTAAAGTTCTCCCTTCAACAACGTGTGACAGATAGTGTAACTATCCAGCCTAATTTTAAAGTTCTCCCTTCAACAACGTGTGACAGATAGTGTAACTATCCAGCCAAATTTTTTAAAGTTCTCCCTTCAAAAACGTGTGACAGATAGTGTAACTATCCAGCCTAATTTTAAAGTTCTCCCTTCAACAACGTGTGACAGATAGTGTAACTATCCAGCCTAATTTTAAAGTTCTCCCTTCAACAACGTGGGGACAGATAGTGTAACTATCCACCTAATTTTAAAGTTCCCCCTTTCAACAACGTGTGACAGATAGTGTAACTATCCAGCCTAATTTAAAGTTTCCCTTCAACAACGTGTGACAGATAGTGTAACTATCCGCCTAATTTAAAGTTCTCCCTTCACAACGTGTGACAGATAGTGTAACCATCCAGCCTAATTTTAAAGTTCTCCCTTCAACAACGTGTTTACCTGGAGTTTACCTGGAGAGAGTTTCGGGGGTCAACGCCCCCGCGGCCCGGTCTGTGACCAGGCCTCCTGGTGGATCAGCGCCTGATCAACCAGGCTGTTGCTGCTGGCTGCACGCAAACCAACGTACGAGCCACAGCCCGGCTGATCAGGAACTGCCTTTAGGTGCTTGTCCAGTGCCAGCTTGAAGACTGCCAGGGGTCTGTTGGTAATCCCCCTTATGTGTGCTGGGAGGCAGTTGAACAGTCTCGGTCCCCTGACACTTATTGTATGGTCTCTTAACGTGCTAGTGACACCCCTGCTTTTCATGGGGGGGATGGTGCAACGTCTGCCAAGTCTTTTTCTTTCGTAGTGAGTGTTTTTTGTGTGCAAGTTCGGTACTAGTCCCTCTAGGATTTTCCAGGTGTATATAATCATGTAACTCTCCCTCCTGCGTTCCAGGGAATACAGGTTTAGAAACCTCAAGCGCTCCAGTAATTGAGGTGTTTTATCTCCGTTATGCGCGCCGTGAAAGTTCTCTGTACATTTTCTAGGTCGGCAATTTCACTGCCTTGAAAGGTGCTGTTAGAGTGCAGCAATATTCCAGCCTAGATAGAACATGTGACCTGAAGAGTGTCATCATGGGCTTGGCCTCCTAGTTTTGAAGGTTCTCATATCCATCCTGTCATTTTTCTAGCAGATGCGATTGATACAATGTTATGGTCCTTGAAGGTGAGATCCTCCGACATAATCACTCCCAGGTCTTTGACGTTGGTGTTTCGCTCTATTTTGTGGCCAGAATTTGTTTTGTACTCTGATGAAGATTTAATTTCCTCATGTTTACCATATCTGAGTAATTGAAATTTCTCATCGTTGAACTTCATATTGTTTTCTGCAGCCCACTGAAAGATTTGGTTGATTTCCGCCTGGAGCCTTGCAGTGTCTGCAATGGAAGACACTGTCATGCAGATTCGGGTGTCATCTGCAAAGGAAGACACGGTGCTGTGGCTGACATCCTTGTCTATGTCGGATATGAGATGAGGAACAAGATGGGAGCTAGTACTGTGCCTTGTGGAACAGAGCTTTTCACCGTAGCTGCCTCGGAACTTTACTCTGTTGACGACTACTCTCTGTGTTCTGTTAGTGAGGAAATTATAGATCCATCGACCAACTTTTCCTGTTATTCCTTTAGCGCGCATTTTGTGCGCTATTACGCCATGGTCACACTTGTCGAAGGCTTTTGCAAAGTCTGTATATATTACATCTGCATTCTTTTTGTCTTCTAGTGCATTTAGGACCTTGTCGTAGTGATCCAGTAGTTGAGACAGACAGGAGCGACCTGTTCTAAACCCATGTTGCCCTGGGTTGTGTAACTGATGGGTTTCTAGATGGTGGTGATCTTGCTTCTTAGGACCCTTTCAAAGATTTTTATGATATGGGATGTTAGTGCAATTGGTCTGTAGTTCTTTGCTGTTGCTTTACTGCCCCCTTTGTGGAGTGGGGCTATGTCTGTTGTTTTTAGTAACTGAGGGACGACCCCCGTGTCCATGCTCCCTCTCCATAGGATGGAAAAAGGCTCGTGATAGGGGCTTCTTGCAGTTCTTGATGAACACAGAGTTCCATGAGTCTGGCCCTGGGGCAGAGTGCATGGGCATGTCATTTATATCGCCTGTTCGAAGTCATTTGGCGTCAGGATAACATCGGATAGGCTTGTGTTAATCAATTTTGTGGCTCTCTCATAAAAAATTCATTTTGCTTCGACTCTCAGTCTGGTTAGCGGCTTGCTAAAAACTGAGTCATATTGGGACTTGAGTAGCTCACTCATTTCCTTGCTGTCATCTGTGTAGGACCCATCTTGTTAAGTAGGGGCCCAATACTGGACGTTGTTCTCGATTTTGATTTGCATAGGAGAAGAAATACTTTGGGTTTCTTTCGATTTCATTTATGGCTTTTAGTTCTTCCCGCGATTCCTGACTCCTAAAGGATCTTTTAGCTTAAGTTCGATGCTTGCTATTTCTCTGACCAGTGCTCCCTGCGCATTTCTGAATATTGACCTCTTTTAGCCGCTCTGTTATTCTTTTCCGTCGCCTGTAAAGGGAGCGCCTGTCTCTTTCTATTTTACATCTACTTCCTCCTTTTTCTAGAGGAATAAGCCTTGTGCATACATCGAGTGCCACCGAGTTAATCTGTTCTAGGCATAAGTTTGGGTCTGTGTTCTTAGTATATCTTCCCAGCTTATATCGGTTAGGACTTGGTTTACTTGGTCCCACTTTATGTTTTTGTTATTGAAGTTGAATTTGGTGAATGATCCCTCGTGACTAGTCTCATTTTGTCGGTCTGGGGCTCACGCATACATGTCTGAACCTCATTATGTTGTGATCTGAGTATATTGTTTTTGATATGGTGACATTTCTTATCAGATCATCATTGTTAGTGAAGATGAGGTCTAGTGTATTCTCCAGTCTAGTAGGCTCTATTATTTGCTGGTTTAAATTGAATTTTGTGCAGAGATTTAAAAGCTCGTGTGAGTGTGAGTTTTCATCAGAGCTGCCTCCTGGTGTTATTACTGCAACAATATTATTTGCTATATTCCTCCATTTTAGGTGCCTTAAGTTGAAATCCCCCAGGACAGATAGTGACAGATAGTGTAACTATCCAGCCTAATTTTAAAGTTCTCCCTTCAACAACGTGTGACAGATAGTGTAACTATCCAGCCTAATTTTAAAGTTCTCCCTTCAACAACGTGTGACAGATAGTGTAACTATCCAGCCTAATTTTAAAGTTCTCCCTTCAACAACGTGTGACAGATAGTGTAACTATCCAGCCTAATTTTAAAGTTCTCCCTTCAACAACGTGTGACAGATAGTGTAACTATCCAGCCTAATTTTAAAGTTCTCCCTTCAACAACGTGTGACAGATAGTGTAACTATCCAGCCTAATTTTAAAGTTCTCCCTTCAACAACGGTGACAGATAGTTAACTATCCAGCCTAATTTAAAGTTCTCCCTTCAACAACGTGTGACAGATAGTGTAACTATCCAGCCTAATTTTAAAGTTCTCCCTTCAACACGTGTGACAGATAGTGTAACTATCCAGCCTAATTTTAAAGTTCTCCCTTCAACAACGTGTGACAGATAGTGTAACTATCCAGCCTAATTTTAAAGTTCTCCCTTCAACAACGTGTGACAGATAGTGTAACTATCCAGCCTAATTTTAAAGTTCTCCCTTCAACAACGTGTGACAGATAGTGTGACTATCCAGCCTAATTTTAAAGTTCTCCCTTCAACAACGTGTGACAGATAGTGTGACTATCCAGCCTAATTTTAAAGTTCTCCCTTCAACAACGTGTGACAGATAGTGTGACTATCCAGCCTGATTTTAAAGTTCTCCCCTTCAACAACGTGTGACTGATAGTGTGACTATCCAGCCTAATTTTAAAGTTCTCCCTTCAACAACGTGTGACAGATAGTGTAACTATCCAGCCTAATTTTAAAGTTCTCCCTTCAACAACGTGTGACAGATAGTGTAACTATCCAGCCTAATTTAAAGTTCTCCCTTCAACACGTGTGACAGATGTGTAACTATCCAGCCTATTTTAAAGTTCTCCCTTCAACAACGTGTGACAGATAGTGTAACTATCCAGCCTAATTTTAAAGTTCTCCCTTCAACAACGTGTGACAGATTAGTGTGACTATCCAGCCTAATTTAAAGTTCTCCCTTCAACAACGTGTGACAGATAGTGTAACTATCCAGCCTAATTTTAAAGTTCTCCTTCAACAACGTGTGACAGATAGTGTAACTATCCAGCCTAATTTTAAAGTTCTCCCTTCAACAACGTGTGACAGATAGTGTAACTATCCAGCCTAATTTTAAAGTTCTCCCTTCAACAACGTGTGACAGATGGTGTGACTATCCAGCCTAATTTTAAAGTTCTTCCCTTCAACAACGTGTGACAGATAGTGTGACTATCCAGCCTAATTTTAAAGTTCTCCCTTCAACAACGTGTGACAGATAGTGTAACTATCCAGCCTAATTTTAAAGTTCTCCCTTCAACAACGTGTGACAGATAGTGTAACTATCCAGCCTAATTTTAAAGTTCTCCCTTCAACAACGTGTGACAGATAGTGTAACTATCCAGCCTAATTTTAAAGTTCTCCCTTCAACAACGTGTGACAGATGGTCTCCTGACAATATTTAGTCTTTATCCAGGTTAATATCAACCCAGCATACCGGCCCAATGAGATGGAATATTGCCTCAACAAGGTTTCTGTCAAGGCTATTATCTGCCACGAAAAATTCAAAACGTCAGAGTAAGTTTAATATCTATTACGAATTTTGGTAATAATGTTACTACTGAGTGAATTATTAATCATAATAACACTTATAATTACTACTGTTGTTTACACTACTAAATTTAATGATACTGTTTTTTTTTCAAGAGGTTTAAATGTAAATAGAAGTTGGTCATAATGTAATTTTTATCAAAAATTATATTACGTGAAGCATTAGGACTGAAGAAGTTACTTTGGGCGAAACGTTCTGTCGAATATATGTTCTGATCAGTACATGAATGTATTTTTCCACATTACCAGCATATATACACAGAGAGGAGTGGCTCTCAGTGTATATACACAGGAAGGAGTGTCTCTCAGTGTATATACACAGGAAGGAGTGTCTCTCAGTGTATATACACAGGAAGGAGTGTCTCTCAGTGTATATACACAGAGAGGAGTGTCTCTCAGTGTATATACACAGAAAGGAGTGTCTCTCAGTGTATATACACAGGAAGGAGTGTCTCTCAGTGTATATACACAGAAAGGAGTGTCTCCTCAGTGTATATACACAGAGAGGATGTGTCTCTCAGTGTATATACACAGAGAGGAGTGTCTCTCAGTGTATATACACAGGAAGGAGTGTCTCTCAGTGTATATACACAGGAAGGAGTGTCTCTCAGTGTATATACACAGAAAGGAGTGTCTCTCAGTGTATATACACAGAGAGGAGTGTCTCTCAGTGTATATACACAGGAAGGAGTGTCTCTCAGTGTATATACACAGGAAGAGTGTCTCTCAGTGTATATACACAGAGAGGAGTGTCTCTCAGTGTATATACACAGAGAGGAGTGTCTCTCAGTGTATATACACAGGAAGGAGTGTCTCTCAGTGTATATACACAGAGAGGAGTGTCTCTCAGTGTATATACACAGAGAGAGTGTCCTCAGTGTATATACACAGAGAGGAGTGTCTCTCAGTGTATATACACAGAGAGGAGTGTCTCTCAGTGTATATACACAGAGAGGAGTGTCTCTCAGTGTATATACACAGAGAGGAGTGTCTCTCAGTGTATATACACAGAGAGGAGTGTCTCAGTGCATATACACAGAGAGGAGTGTCTCTCAGTGTATATACACAGAGAGGAGTGTCTCTCAGTGTATATACACAGAGAGGAGGTCCTCAGTGTATATACACAGAGAGGAGTGTCTCATGGATATACACGAGAGGAGTGTCTCTCAGTGCATATACACAGAAAGGAGTGTCTCTCAGTGTATATACACAGAAAGGAGTGTCTCTCAGTGTATATACACAGAAAGGAGTGTCTCTCAGTGTATATACACAGAGAGGAGTGTCTCTCAGTGTATATACACAGAGAGGAGTGTCTCTCAGTGTATATACACAGAGAGGAGTGTCTCAGTGTATATACACAGAAAGGAGTGTCTCTCAGTGTATATACACAGAAAGGAGTGTCTCTCAGTGTATATACACAGGAGTGTCTCTCAGCGTTGAGGCTACGGTAGGCTATGAATATTAAACGGAACATGCTATCTTAATATCGTTATCATTCTATGATATTAGTTATCAAAAGACTGACATCGATCCATTGTGTCTCCACAGTTATCATCAGATGTTATGTCAGATCGCCCCTGAGCTGTTATCCTCTTCCAAAGATGACTTGAACCTCTCTAGACTACCTTTCTTGAAGAGGGTGATCATGTGCTCTGAGAAGGACGTCAGGTGAGGTAGTCATGTGCTCTGAGAAGGACGTCAGGTGAGATAGTCATGTGCTCTGAGAAGGACGTCAGGTGAGATAGTCATGTGCTCTGAGAAGGACGTCAGGTGAGGTAACAGGTACTCTGAGAAGGGCCTCAGGTAAGGTAACCAGCATTCTGAGAAGGGCCTCAAGTAAGATAACCAGTACTCTGAGAAGGGCCTCAAGTAAGATAACCAGTACTCTGAGGAGGGCCTCAAGTAAGATAACCAGTACTCTGAGAAGGGCCTCAAGTAAGATAACCAGTACTCTGAGGAGGGCCTCAAGTAAGATAACCAGTACTCTGAGAAGGGCCTCAAGTAAGATAACCAGTACTCTGAGAAGGGCCTCAAGTAAGATAACCAGTACTCTGAGGAGGCCTCAAGTAAGATAACCATACTCTGAGAGGGCCTCAAGTAAGATAACCAGTACTATGAGAAGGGCCTCAGGTAAGATAATCAGTACTCTGAGAAGGGCCTCAAGTAAGATAACCAGTACTCTGAGAAGGGCCTCAAGTAAGATAACCAGTACTCTGAGAAGTGCCTCAAGTAAGATAAACAGTACTCTGAGAAGGGCCTCAAGTAAGATAACCAGTACTCTAAGAAGAGCCTCAAGTAAGATAACCAGTACTCTGAGAAGGGCCTCAAGTAAGATAACCAGTACTCTAAGAAGGGCCTCAAGTAAGATAACCAGTACTCTGAGAAGGGCCTCAAGTAAGATAACCAGTACTCTGAGAAGGGCCTCAAGTAAGATAACCAGTACTCTAAGAAGGGCCTCAAGTAAGATTACCAGTACTCTGAGAAGGGCCTCAAGTAAGATAACCAGTACTCTGAGAAGGGCCTCAAGTAAGATAACCAGTACTCTGAGAAGGGCCTCAAGTAAGATAACCAGTACTCTGAGAAGGGCCTCAGTAAGATTAACCAGTACTCTGAGAAGGCCTCAAGTAAGATTACTAGTACTCTGAGAAGGTCCTCAAGTAAGATAACCAGTACTCTAAGAGGGCCCAAGTAAGATAACAGTACTCTAAGAAGGCCTCAAGTAAGATAACCAGTACTCTGAGAAGGGCCTCAAGTAAGATTACTAGTACTCTGAGAAGGTCCTCAAGTAAGATAACCAGTACTCTAAGAAGGGCCTCAAGTAAGATAACCAGTACTCTGAGAAGGGCCTCAAGTAAGATAACCAGTACTCTGAGAAGGGCCTCAAGTAAGATAACCAGTACTCTGAGAAGGGCCTCAAGTAAGATAACCAGTACTCTGAGAAGGGCCTCAAGTAAGATAACCAGTACTCTAGAAGGGGCCTCAAGTAAGATAATCAGTACTCTAAGAAGGGCCTCAAGTAAGATAACCAGTACTCTAAGAAGGGCCTCAAGTAAGATAACCAGTACTCTAAGAAGGGCCTCAAGTAAGATAACCAGTACTCTAAGAAGGGCCTCAAGTAATAACCAGTACTCTGAGAAGGGCCTCAAGTAAGATAACCAGTACTCTAAGAAGGGCCTCAAGTAAGATAACCAGTATTCTGAGAAGGGCCTCAAGTAAGATAACCAGTACTCTAAGAAGGCCTCAAGTAAGATAAACCATACTCTAAGAAGGGTCTCAAGTAAGATAACCAGTACTCTAAGAAGGGCCTCAAGTAAGATAACCAGTACTCTAAGAAGGGCCTCAAGTAAGATAACCAGTACTCTAAGAAGGGCCTCAAGTAAGATAACCAGTACTCTAAGAAGGGCCTCAAGTAAGATAACCAGTACTCTGAGAAGGGCCTCAAGTAAGATAACCAGTACTCTAAGAAGGGCCTCAAGTAAGATAACCAGTATTCTGAGAAGGGCCTCAAGTAAGATAACCAGTACTCTGAGAAGGGCCTCAAGTAAGATAACCAGTACTCTAAGAAGGGCCTCAAGTAGAAACCAGTACTCTAAGAAGGGTCCAAGTAAGATAACCAGTACTCTAAGAAGGCCTCAAGTAAGATAACCAGTACTCTAAGAAGGGCCTCAAGTAAGATAACAGTACTCTAAGAAGGGCCTCAAGTAAATAACCAGTACTCTAAGAAGGTCCTCAAGTAAGATAACCAGTACTCTAAGAAGGGCCTCAAGTAAGATAACCAGTACTCTAAGAAGGTCCTCAAGTAAGATAACCAGTACTCTAAGAAGGGCCTCAAGTAAGATAATCAGTACTCTAAGAAGGGCCTCAAGTAAGATAACCAGTACTCTAAGAAGGGCCTCAAGTAAGATAACCAGTACTCTAAGAAGGGCCTCAAGTAAGATAACCAGTACTCTAAGAAGGGCCTCAAGTAAGATAACCAGTACTCTGAGAAGGGCCTCAAGTAAGATAACCAGTACTCTAAGAAGGGCCTCAAGTAAGATAACCAGTATTCTGAGAAGGGCCTCAAGTAAGATAACCAGTACTCTAAGAAGGGCCTCAAGTAAGATAACCAGTACTCTAAGAAGGGTCTCAAGTAAGATAACCAGTACTCTAAGAAGGGCCTCAAGTAAGATAACCAGTACTCTAAGAAGGGCCTCAAGTAAGATAACCAGTACTCTAAAGGGCCTCAAGTAAGATAACCAGTACTCTAAGAAGGGCCTCAAGTAAGATAACCAGTACTCTGAGAAGGGCCTCAAGTAAGATAACCAGTACTCTAAGAAGGGCCTCAAGTAAGATAACCAGTATTCTGAGAAGGGCCTCAAGTAAGATAACCAGTACTCTGAGAAGGGCCTCAAGTAAGATAACCAGTACTCTAAGAAGGGCCTCAAGTAAGATAACCAGTACTCTAAGAAGGGTCTCAAGTAAGATAACCAGTACTCTAAGAAGGGCCTCAAGTAAGATAACCAGTACTCTAAGAAGGGCCTCAAGTAAGATAACCAGTACTCTAAGAAGGGCCTCAAGTAAGATAACCAGTACTCTAAGAAGGTCCTCAAGTAAGATAACCAGTACTCTAAGAAGGGCCTCAAGTAAGATAACCAGTACTCTAAGAAGGTCCTCAAGTAAGATAACCAGTACTCTAAGAAGGGCCTCAAGTAAGATAACCAGTACTCTAAGAAGGTCCTCAAGTAAGATAACCAGTACTCTAAGAAGGGCCTCAAGTAAGATAACCAGTACTCTAAGAGAAGGGCCTCAAGTAAGATAACCAGTACTCTAAGAAGGGCCTCAAGTAAGATAACCAGTACTCTAAGAAGGGCCTCAGGTAAGATAACCAGTACTCTAAGAAGGGCCTCAAGTAAGATAACCAGTACTCTCAGAAGGGCCTCAAGTAAGATAACCAGTACTCTAAGAAGGGCCTCAAGTAAGATAACCAGTACTCTCAGAAGGGCTTCAAGTAAGATAACCAGTACTCTCAGAAGGGCCTCAAGTAAGATAACCAGTACTCTAAGAAGGGCCTCAAGTAAGATAACCAGTACTCTAAGAAGGGCCTCAAGTAAGATAACCAGTACTTTAAGAAGGGCCTCAGGTAAGATAACCAGTACTCTAAGAAGGGCCTCAAGTAAGATAACCAGTACTCTAAGAAGGGCCTCAGGTAAGATAGCCAGTACTCTAAGAAGGGCCTCAGGTAAGATAGCCAGTACTCTAAGAAGGGCCTCAGGTAAGATAGCCAGTACTCTAAGAAGGGCCTCAGGTAAGATAGCCAGTACTCTCAGAAGGGCCTCAAGTAAGATAACCAGTACTCTAAGAAGGGCCTCAAGTAAGATAACCAGTACTCTAAGAAGGGTCTCAAGTAAGATAACCAGTACTCTAAGAAGGGCCTCAAGTAAGATAACCAGTACTCTAAGAAGGGTCTCAAGTAAGATAACCAGTACTCTAAGAAGGGTCTCAAGTAAGATAACCAGTACTCTCAGAAGGGCCTCAAGTAAGATAACCAGTACTCTAAGAAGGGCCTCAAGTAAGATAACCAGTACTCTAAGAAGGGCCTCAAGTAAGATAACCAGTACTCTAAGAAGGGCCTCAAGTAAGATAACCAGTACTCTAAGAAGGGCCTCAAGTAAGATAACCAGTACTCTCAGAAGGGCCTCAGCCGAGGTGCTAGTATTTACCACTATACACACTCATTAAATGTTAACTTAAATTATAAAGTCTAATTCGCAGTATATTTCCTCTGAAGTTTAGTCCATATAAGTAATATAATTCTTCAAATTTTTTGAAACCCAAAAACAAAAGAGATTTACACTTTTTGGACGATAAAAGTTGTCAGGAAAATAAGGTTTGCAAATATTTTGATTTACTGTACTTTCCACGATATTATAATAGCAGTAGCGTTTTTTTTATGAAGTGCAAAACCCGTGTGAGTTATTCGGGGCAAGGAGTCCTGAAGGCTTGATCCTCCGTCCTCTAATTACTTCTCGATCTTTGACCTACCAGGCTATTGGCAGTGTAATTTCTGTTAGGTAACATTTTATTGTGGCCAGGTTTCACTCTCCAGGAGCTTTGTCAAAGCTCCTGGACTCACAAAATAGTAATAACACAAACTGAGGGGCTTTGAACTCGCCATGGGTTCAAACCCTGCCCGTTCCGTGGTTTCTAACATGTATTTTTGTCTCTAGTGGAGCCTTCAAGTTTGGAGATCTGTATGATGCTGGAGATACTTCCCATGTGAAGATGCTGGGGGACATTTCTGCCAGATTGAAATCTGACGACCCTTTCAATATTCAGTTTACGTCAGTGAGTATTTCTTGTAATGATTTTTTTGGTATACAAGAGAATGATAGTATTGAAAAAAAAATAAATACTTAATTATCACTGTAATTTGATTTGCAAAGAAATACTGAGTCGTAGTTTCTGGTCACATTATGTAGGTTCTTTTAACTTGACTACCAAGGACAGGTATGGGGTTACTACCATCCACAGGATAGGTATGGGGTTACTACCATCCACAGGATAGGTATGGGGTTACTACCATCCGCAGGATAGGTATGGGGTTACTACCATCCACAGGATAGGTATGGGGTTACTACCATCCACAGGATAGGTATGGGGTTACTACCATCCACAGGACAGGTATTGGGTTACTACCATCCACAGGATAGGTATGGGGTTACTACCATCCACAGGATAGGTATGGGGTTACTACCATCCACAGGACAGGTATGGGGTTACTACCATCCACAGGATAGGTATGGGGTTACTACCATCCACAGGACAGGTATGGGGTTACTACCATCCACAGGATAGGTATGGGGTTACTACCATCCACAGGACAGGTATGGGTTACTACCATCCACAGGATAGGTATGGGGTTACTACCATCCACAGGACAGGTATGGGGTTACTACCATCCACAGGATAGGTATGGGGTTACTACCATCCACAGGACAGGTATGGGGTTACTACCATCCACAGGATAGGTATGGGGTTACTACCATCCACAGGATAGGTATGGAGTTACTACCATCCACAGGATAGGTATGGGGTTACTACCATCCACAGGATAGGTATGGGGTTACTACCATCCACAGGATAGGTATGGGGTTACTACCATCCACAGGATAGGTATGGGGTTACTACCATCCACAGGACAGGTATGGGGTTACTACCATCCACAGGACAGGTATGGGGTTACTACCATCCACAGGATAGGTATGGGGTTACTACCATCCACAGGACAGGTATGGGGTTACTACCATCCACAGGATGGGTATGGGGTTACTACCATCCACAGAATAGGTATGGGGTTACTACCATCCACAGGATAGGTATGGGGTTACTACCATCCACAGGACAGGTATGGGGTTACTACCATCCACAGGATAGGTATGGGGTTACTACCATCCACAGGATAGGTATGGGGTTACTACCATCCACAGGATAGGTATGGGGTTACTACCATCCACAGGATAGGTATGGGGTTACTACCATCCACAGGATAGGTATGGGGTTACTACCATCCACAGGATAGGTATGGGGTTACTACCATCCACAGGATAGGTATGGGGTTACTGCCACCCACAGGATAGGTATTGGGGCATAGTTCATCAGCGTTAAAAGTTTGAAGCCTACCGGATGAGGCGTTCCCAAGTTATAAATGAAATCTTAGAGGAAGAGTAAAAAGAAATCCAGGCCTGGAGTATACGCCCCCGCGGCCCGGTCTGTGACCAGGCCTCATGGTGGATCAGGGTCTGATCAACCAGGCTGTTAGTGCTGGCCGCACGTAATCCAACGTACGAGCCACAGCCCGGCTGGTCAGGTACTGACTTTAGGTGCTTGTCCAGTGCCAGCTTGAAGACAGCCAGGGGTCTGTTGGTAATCCCCCTGATGTATGCTGGGAGGCAGTTGAACAGTCTTGGGCCCCTGACACTTGATAATATTAGTAGTGAATAATATTATTGATTGTAATAATGATATTAAGGTCCGTGGTTCGATTTCCGGTACGGGTTTACCTGGAGTTTACCTGGAGAGGGTTTCGGGAGCGTATTTCCTAAGACGCCTGGTGTCCCTGTTTACCTAGCAGTAAACAGGTACCTGGGTGTTAATTACTTTACACTTGCTGTCACTGTTCACCTAGCAGTAAGTAGGTACCTTGGTGTTAATCGACTGGTGTGGGTCGCATTCTGGGTACAGAATTAACCTGAGTTTCAGGAAATGCTCTGTATAACTAGTGACTTTCTATATAGTGTGTCACTGATGTCAGCTATGGTCTGTATAAGTTGTATCATGTACTTGTAGAAATAAAGATTATTATTATTATTATTATTATTATTATTATTATTATTATTGTTATTATCGTTGTTTCAGGGAACGACTGGGTTCCCCAAGGCGGCTATCCTCACCCATCACATGCTGGTCAACAATGCTTATGGTGTTGGTAAACGAGCACAATACAACAAGAGTGTAAGTAGAACTGAATTTGCAGTTGGTCCCCAATGCTGTACCGCTGATAATTATGAAGAAACGACAAACTGTGGAGAACACGCTTGCACTGAGACGATGTTTCGCCCTGTATAGAGCTTCGTAATGACGTAATAAGGATTTACACAGAGCGAAAGATCATCTCTTTATATAATATTTTTTGCAGTGTTTATTATATTCATGGGAAAGGTTTACCATGCAGTAGGTATTAAGGTAAACTCAGGGTTTATTAAACTGAGATATATGTCTCTCAGTCTATATACACTAAGAGATATACACCTCTGTGTACATACACTAAGGATTGTGCACGTCTCAATGTATATTCACTTAGATATACACTTCTGTGTACATACACTAAGATGTACACCTCTCAGTCTATATACACTAAGAGATATACACCTCTGTGTACATATACTAAGAGATATACACCTCTCAGAGTATATACACCAAGATATATACACCCTTCCACCTAAATATATTTCACTGTGGTATTACGTATCACTGCGACTGTCTTCTAGTTTCTGTTTCTTCTCTTTCAGAGAGTACGTATCTGTTTATCAGTACCACTATATCACTGCTTCGGCTGTGTTGCTGGGGCTCTAACTGGCGCTCTGTATGGGGCAACCTGTGTCCTTCCCACCGAAGCTTATAACCCTGAAGCTTGCGTTCAGGCAATACAAGACGAGAGGTTAGTGTCCACAAAACCCGGAGGCTGTGTATTTTTGAGTTCGGCACTGACAGGCTGAAGTAGGATTTGACCAGCACTTTATAGACGGTGAACGAATAAGAGATATCTGTCACAGTTCTGTTGCTGAAATATTTCGTCTGTATGGTAGGCTTCTTTAGTCAGTTATAGAGACAGCAGTTGTGGCGACGTAAGATAAGATTTTCTTCGGATTTTTAATCCCGGAGGGTTAGCCATCCAGGATAACCCAAGAAAGTGCGTCATCGAGGACTGTCTAACTTATTTCCATTGTGGTCTTCAATCTTGTCCCCCAGGATGCCACCAGTCGACTAACACCCAGGTACCTATTTGCTGCTAGGTGAACATGACAACAGGTGTAAGGAAACACGTCGAAATGTTTGTACCCCGCCGGGAATCGAACCCGGGCCCTCCGTGTGTGAGGCGAGAGCTTTAGCCACCAGGCCACCAGCCTTGAAGAGGTAGTTTTTGAGGTGGTCAGTCCCTCAGGCTGGAGAAGAGTTCAGCTCCATGATCTGGAACAAGGTGGTCAATCCCTCAGGCTGGAGAAGAGTTCAGCTCCATGATCTGGAACAAGGTTGTCAGTCCCTCAACCTGGAAAAGAATCCAGCTCCATTACCTGATTGCTTTCCAGTCTCCAGTCTCTGTATAAACACTAAACATTTAACAATCTCACCCAATCACGTAATATTTGCTAACACTGACATTCCTTCATTAACAGGGTGTCTTCCTGCTACGGGACGCCAACCATGTTTGTTGACATACTAAATGAACAGCGCAGGAAACCTCGAGATATAAGCTCCTTATCAACAGGAATCATGGCTGGTGCTCCCTGTCCCCAGGAACTGGTCATGGCTGTCATGAATGACCTTAATATGAAGGACTTCATGGTAAGAACTTATTCTTCTTCGTCTTCTTTTCATCTTCTTCATCATCTTCGTCTTTTTCTTTTCACTTTTCACGTGATAGCCCAAATTCATAGGGTGATAATGCCTTTGGAATGGGAGGAAATCAGTTTGACCCAAGAAAGCGGAGAGAGTAGCTCCAACGCCTTAGATCAAGAGCTCTTCATAGTCATCAAGGTAAAACAACGAGAAACCAAGTCATGGTAAACATTCTCTCTCAGTTGGTAATAATCTAGTTTTTGGTCCCCTGGTGTAATACTCCAGGGATCCCGAGCAACCAGTGATGGATATAAGCTGACATACTTGCTTTCCCGTTACGATTCTAAGTTGTGGCTTGATAATGGCTCAGGATGGATCGAAATGTGGTTTAAAGTTGTCCCCTTGTGACTTATTCTCCCTTCAGTCAGAGTATTGTGACTTATTCTCCTTTACAAGACATATATTCTAAAGAAACTCGCATTTCAAAATTTTCCTCTGTGTAGAGCTTTACCAAGACCAGGCGAAGCTCTATGTACAACCACACACTTTTTTTCACGCTGAAAAAGCTTATTTACACACTGTCTTGGACTCCATCCCTGGTGATAATATTCCTTCAACAGGTGATGTACGGTATGACAGAAACAAGTCCCGTCAGCTTCCAGTGTTACCCAACAGACTCGCCTCAAGTGAAATCTTCCACAATAGGTTTTCCAAGCGACCATATTGAGGTAGGCTTCTATGTAATAATAATAATAATAATAATAATAATAATAATAATCTTTATTTCTTCAAGTACATGATACAACTTGTACAGACCATAGCTGACATCAGTAACATACTGTATAGAAATCGTAATGAACTATTGCAGAAAACCCATCCCAACGGGGGGAAGCCCCCAGGGGTTCGAGAGTCTCAAAACTCCAATCATCGCTTTAGCCCAAATGCAAGTTTTTTTACAGACAATCTCCATTGGGTACAGTGGGGCATGTGCAAACCTTCCTTGGGTGTAAAAATAACCTAGGGGAGAATTTTTTGTGGTTTCGGGTTTAGGGGCTAAGCGACGGCCCGGGGATTTTTGAGACCTCTGACCGCTGGTTCTTCCCCCCCGTGGTTGGTTTATATAAAACCTTGGTTATGCAGAGTTTTTTCGGCAAATTAGAAATTTTGTCCCCATGCGCCCCACACCAGGGGGGTAACACCCGGGGTACCTATTTTCATCTAGAGAACAGGAAAAGGGGCGTAAAGTGACTAACACCCCCCCCTACTTACTCTGGGTGAACGGGACAGGGGTATAAAGTAACAGCCCCCAGGTCCCTACTTACTGCTAGGTGAACAGAACAACAAAGTAAAGTATCCCCCGGGTACCTGCTTATGCTGGGTGAACAGGGACATCATTGTCTTAAAGAAAACACCCCAAATGTTTCCCACCCGTACCGGGGACGAACCAAGTCGTAAAAAAAGCCTGAAAGGCCCCTATAATGAACTTTATCAATGAATTCTTGAAAAGACACTAGACCTTAATATAGTACAAATCCTTCATATTTTTCACGCAGTGTAATTTGTGTCTTGACGGGCGAAGGTGGGACGAAAGGGTATGGTCCGTAAGGGAGGCAGGTAGTTTTGTATCAGAGGTTACTGTAATTTCCCTAGTTAGGGGGGGACCCAGAGAAGACTGAAGAGACTATGGGTTCTGACCGTGGTTTTAAAAAATGGAAATGCAGTGTTTACATGAATGTAGGAATAAATGATGGGAAATTTTCCCTTTTGTCAAAATTTAATGTGAGTTATGGCTAATGACTTCGAAAGAATCATTTGTATGGTTTGTGGAATGTAAATAATAATAATAATAATAATAATAATAATAATAATAATAATATTGTATGGGTAACGTTTATTTGTTAATGCAGAAAGTCCATGGTTAAACTAATTAAACTAACTTATGCAGAGCATTTCGAAGCGTTTTCACTCTCCAAGTGATGATTATGATTTTAACATTGCAGTGAGTTCGTTATATATACCCTGGGAAATGTAAGACGAATAGATACAGAGAAGAGAATAGCTTTAATTTCTTGAATCAAGATCTTAACAGCATCAAGGTACCTGCCTTTAAGGGCCTAATCATGTTAATGATGTGACTTGCTAGCTAGCAGAATACTTCCCATTAAGTATATTTTGTACAGATATTATAACATTTAATAATAAAGCGTAAAAAAACTTATCAGTGCTCAGTAATAAAACCCTATGTGAAGTTGTCTGGAGATTAATTGATCCTATATTTCACCCCTTTTGGGGTCCTCTTCACTGAAGAGGATCCCAAAAAGGTCGAAATATACAGATCAAAAATTAGACACTGGCAACATCTGGGTTTTTTATTGGGAGACTTTCGCCATTGGGGGGTTTTCTAAACAAATTTAAAGAAATAATTTTAAGACATGAAGATAGCAAAAGAGAGGGAAAAATCCCTTACTTTAGTGACGGGTTACCCAGCACGGGCCCGTAGCCCCAGCATGGTCCCTTTTTTCTTTGTTCCCATGGTTATCTGTTTTTCAGTGATCTGGCCGTCTTAAGCCCGACGGATATGGGGAGATCATTTGGGGGGGTCAAGGACCTATTATCCGTGGGGGTGAAAATATTTACCCACAAGAAAGAATTTTTTTCTTGGGGCACCCACGCATTATTGAAGCTCAGGTTCGTATATTTTGACTCTGATTGGCTTTGTATCTGATTTTCTAATTCATAAGAAAGAAGGAGAACTGTAGCAGGCTTACTGGCCCATGCTAGGCAGGTGCAAGTTACCTACTGACCCATGCTAGGCAGGTGCAGGTTACCTACTGACCCATGCTAGGCAGGTGCAGGTTACCTACTGGCCCATGCTAGGCAGGTGCAGGTTACCTACTGGCCCATGCTAGGCAGGTGCAGCTTACCTACTGGCCCATGCTAGGCAGGTGCAGGTTACCTACTGGCCTATGGTAGGCACGTGCAAGTCACCTCCTGGCCCATGCTAAGCAGGTGCAACTAACATGACATTTTATTGTGGCAACGTTTCGCTCTCCAGGAGCTTTGTCAGACCTTTATGTAACGGCTTGAAAAGATCCTGGAGTGTGAAACGTTGCCACAATAAATCGTCACATTAGATGCACTTGTGTCCTTTTACCTAACATATTGCCGATATAAATAACAAAAAAACAGAATACCATGACTGGAACAATACACAAATAACCCGCACATAGTAGACAGGAGCTTACGACGATGTTTGGATCCGACTTACGACGATGCTTGGATCCGACTTATGACGATGTTTGGATCCGACTTACGATGATGTTTGGATCCGACTTACGACGATGCTTGGATCCGACTTACGACGATGTTTGGATCTGACTTACGACGATGTTTGGATCCGACTTACGACGATGCTTGGATCCGACTTATGACGATGTTTGGATCCGACTTACGACGATGCTTGGATCCGACTTACGACGATGTTTGGATCTGACTTACGACGATGTTTGGATCCGATTTAAACGACATGCTTGGATCCGACTTATGACGATGTTTGGATCCGACTTACGACGATGCTTGGATCCGACTTACGACGATGTTTGGATCTGACTTACGATGATGTTTGGATCCGACTTACGACGATGCTTGGATCCGACTTACGACGATGTTTGGATCTGACTTACGACGATGTTTGGATCCGACTTACGACGATGCTTGGATCCGACTTACGACGATGCTTGGATCCGACTTACGATGATGTTTGGATCCGACTTACGACGATGTTTGGATCTGACTTGGACTGTTTACGAAGTGACACATGGCCGTAAGCTTCTCTCTATGTGTGGGTTAGTTCTGCATAATGTTGGCATTCTACCAACATTACCACAGTCTTAGTGTTGTCTCCAAGTCCTCTTGTATCTGTCTCTCCCATGTACTTCATTGTATCTGTACAACAGTCAGTTTTCTTCGTGAGTACCAGGTGACCTCAAGTAGAAGGTAATGTTATAATACCAGGTGACCTCAAGTAGCAGGTAATGTTATAGTACCAGGTGACCTCAAGTACCAGATGACCCCAAGTAGCAGGTAATGTTATAGTACCAGGTGACCTCAAGTACCAGATGACCCCAAGTAGCAGGTAATGTTATAGTACCAGGTGACCTCAAGTACCAGATGACCTCAAGTAGCAGGTAATGTTATAGTACCAGGTGACCTCAAGTACCAGATGACCCCAAGTACCAGGTGAGCTCAAGTACCAGGTAATATTCCTGGAATTTATAATGTATTCCGGGAATTTATAGTGTATCCCTGGAATATATAATGTATCCCCTGAATTTATGAAGAATACCTGGAATTTACAATGCATCCCTGCAGTTTATAATGTATCCCTGGAATTTATAATGTACCATACCCCTCAAGGAAGGTTCCTTGATGTTGGTGAGGGGCTCTTGATTTAGGGAATTGGATCTGTGCTCCAGTTCCCCGAATTAAGCCTGAATGCCTTCCACATCCCCCCCCCAGGTGCTGTATAATCCTCTGGGTTTAGCGCTTCCCCCTTGATTATAATAATAATAATAATAATAATATAATGTACCAGGTAATTATTGCTGCTTCAGGTATTCAGTGTTCCGGATGCCAGAATGGGAGAAGAAGTAGCTGCTTGGATCCGAAAAGCTGATGATGCTGAACTGACAGCCACTACTCTGAAGGAATGGTGTAAAGGAAAGGTGGGTGTTGTAATGTGTTCACCGGGGGAGATATATAGTCAGGTGTTGTATGAGTCGGTTGGGTCACACAGCACCTGGGGAGTTTACCTGGAGTTTACCTGGAGAGAGTTCCGGGGGTCAACGCCCCCGCGGCCCGGTCTGAGACCAGGCCTCCTGGTGGATCAGAGCCTGATCAACCAGGCTGTTGCTGCTGGCTGCACGCAAACCAACATACGAGCCACAGCCCGGCTGATCCGGAACTGACTTTAGGTGCTTGTCCAGTGCCAGCTTGAAGACTGCCAGGGGTCTGTTGGTAATCCCCCTTATGTGTGCTGGGAGGCAGTTGAACAGTCTCGGGCCCCTGACACTTATTGTATGGTCTCTTAACGTGCTAGTGACACCCCTGCTTTTCATTGGGGGGATGGTGCATCGTCTGCCAAGTCTTTTGCTTTCGTAGTGAGTGATTTTCGTGTGCAAGTTCGGTACTAGTCCCTCTAGGATTTTCCAGGTGTATATAATCATGTATCTCTCCCTCCTGCGTTCCAAGCACTCCCAATAATTGAGGTGTTTTATCTCCGTTATGCGCGCCGTGAAAGTTCTCTGTACATTTTCTAGGTCGGCATTTCACCTGCCCTTTAAAGGTGCTGTTAGTGTGCAGCAATATTCCAGCCTAGATAGAACAAGTGACCTGAAGAGTGTCATCATGGGCTTGGCCTCCCTAGTTTTGAAGGTTCTCATTATCCATCCTGTCATTTTTCTAGCAGATGCGATTGATACAATGTTATGGTCCTTGAAGGTGAGATCCTCCGACATGATCACTCCCAGGTCTTTGACGTTGGTGTTTTGCTCTATTTTGTGGCCAGAATTTGTTTTGTACTCTGATGAAGATTTAATTTCCTCATGTTTACCATATCTGAGTAATTGAAATTTCTCATCGTTGAACTTCATATTGTTTTCTGCAGCCCACTGAAAGATTTGGTTGATGTCTGCCTGGAGCTTTGCAGTGTCTGCAATGGAAGACACTGTCATGCAGATTCGGGTGTCATCTGCAAAGGAAGACACGGTTTCTGTGGCTGACATCCTTGTCTATGTCGGATATAAGGATGAGAAACAAGATGGGAGCGAGTACTGTGCCTTGTGGAACAGAGCTTTTCACCGTAGCTGCCTCGGACTTTACTCTGTTGACGACTACTCTCTGTGTTCTTTTAGTGAGGAAATTATAGATCCATCGACCGACTTTTCCTGTTATTCCTTTAGCACGCATTTTGTGCGCTATTACGCCATGGTCACACTTGTCGAAGGCTTTTGCAAAGTCTGTATATATTACATCTGCATTCTTTTTGTCTTCTAGTGCATTTAGGACCTTGTCGTAGTGGTCCAATAGTTGAGACAGACAGGAGCGACCTGTTCTAAACCCATGTTGCCCTGGGTTGTGTAACTGATGGGTTTCTAGATGCGTGGTGATCTTGCTTCTTAGGACCCTTTCAAAGATTTTTATGATATGGGATGTTAGTGCTATTGGTCTGTAGTTCTTTGCTGTTGCTTTACTGCCCCCTTTGTGGAGTGGGGCTATGTCTGTTGTTTTTAGTAACTGTGGGACGACCCCCCGAGTGGGGAGTAAACCAGGATGTGTTTGCTGCAATGTCTTGAATCAAGATCCCTTCACCAGCATCAAGGTACCTTCCCTAAAGGGAGAAAGAAACGTAGATATTATTGCTTTGAATTGCTAGTTGAATTGCGGGCTGTGTGCTAACTAGCAGATTATATATGTATGTTGTCTAGTGTGAGGAGTCACAAAAGCGCTTGGAATTTCGGTATTTTTTCACAGTGGTTGTTTCGTATATTGTGATATAACCTATTTACTGGGAAGTGGCACAGAATTCTTCCTCCGTAAGCCATGCGTGTCGTAAGAGGCAACTAAAATGCCAGAGCAAGGGGCTAGTAACCCTTTCTCCTGTATATGTTACTAAATATAAAAAGGAGAAACTTTCGTTTTTCTTTTTGGGCCACCCCGCCTTGGTGGGATACTGCCGGTGTGTTGAAAGAAATATATATATATATATATATATATTAATATATATATATATATATATATATATAATATATATATATATATATATATATATATTATATATATATATATATATACACTAACATTTCTCCAATACCTTTGTGAAACAGCTAACAATTTTTTTCAGTTAAAATATTTTTTTATAGGTATTACGAACGTTAAAATATTTTTCCCGAAAGGCTTTTCATACTGTGGGATTTACATCCCTTTATACTCCATGTACACAGTGTTTGGAAAACTGAGATCTTGTGTTGCACATTGCACAGTCTTGCAAGTCGTGGTGGGGGTCACTCGAAGTGGACTCTTTTGACATTAATAATCACTGGTTGTATTTTAAACGATGGTGGCAATTGTAACTTTGTGTGATTATATTTTATAGTACTACTCTACTACTACTACTACTACTACTACTACTACTACTACTACTACTACTGCTATTATTATTATACTATTACTACTAATATATCATTACTACTATTATTGCCTACTATTACTGTTATTTACTACTATTACTACCATTATACTGTACTACACTACTACTATAGTATTACTACTCTACTACTAACAGTAAAATACATTCAATGATTAATTTTATGGCCCCTCTTACATGTGTTACAGATCGCACATTACAAGGTGCCTCGCTACATCCTCTGTAAGGACGAGTTCCCCAAGACTGTCACTGGTTAAGATCAGAAGTTCGTCGTTCGAGAGACGTCACCATGAAGGAAAAAAAACTATCCTGAACTAGACGTCACCATATAATGGAAACTCAGCAACCTGAACTAGACGTCCACATGAAGGAAACTCAACCTGAACTAGACGTCACCATGAAGGACTCAACTTGAACTAGACGTCACCATGAAGGAACTTCTCAACTTGAACTTGATGGTCACCATGAAGGCGAACTCATCTTGAACTAGACGGTCACCATGAAGGAAACTCAACTTGAATAGACGTCTTATGTTGGGTAAATGAACCACTGATTGCAACTAATGTGATGTTATGGCAAACCGTTTCGCTCTCAGGAGCTTCGTCAAGCCTTAACAGGTTGGCAAAACGTCCTTGGAGAACTGAAAAGCTCCCGCTTCACACACGTGTTGGCTCGGGTTCGATTCCCGGCTGGTGGAACAGGTGGAAACATTTTCGACAGTTTCATTACACCTGTTGTCTGTTCACCTGAGCTGCAAATAGGTACCTGGGTGTTAGTGACTGGTGTGGGTCGCATCCTGGGGGGACAAGATTAAGGACCCCAATGGAAATAAGTTAGACAGTCCTCGATGACGCACTGCTTTTGGGTTATCTGGGTGGCTAACCCTCCGGGGTTAAAAATCCGAACGAAACTTATCTTATCTTTACGTCATTACTTGATATTTTTATCTGGATAAAATCATTTTATCCTTAAATAAAAATAAGAGTAGTTGTGTAAGATGCACTAGTCCCCCTCAAGGGAGGGGCTCTTATCCAAGGAACTGGATTCACCCAGCTTTGGGGTCGAATTTAAATCGTTCTTTATTTCCCCGTTGTTATATTAACCCCTGCGAGTTTAGTGTTTCCTTGAATACATAAAATATGCTTTACTAAGCATAATTCAAAACAAGGATTATGCAAGGTGCCAAAACAACCACAGGGGGTGTTGAATGATAGCTCTAGGCTTTCGTTGTTGAAATAAACGCATCATCAGGAGCCCAACTGGAGCCCTGAAGGAATTATCTGGACTTCCTAATCATTTCTGCAACATTGCAAGCTCTGAAGATGTGTGATTTCAGCCATGAAAGGCCTAGGCTAGCATTCAACTCCCCCTGTGGTTGTTTTGCATGTTTAAGAAAATTACTAACGGCTAAGGTCCTGGTGAGCGAAACATTCTCCGAGAAGAGTCATGGTGAGCGAAACATTCTCCTGAAAGAAGGTCCTGGTGAGCGAAACATTCTCCTGAAGAAGGTCCTGGTGAGCGAAACTTTCTCCTGAAGAAGTTCCTGATGAGCGAAACTTCTCCTGAAGAAGGTCCTGGTGAGCGAAACATTTCCTGAAGAAGGTCCTGGTGAGCGAAACATTCTCCTGAAGAAGGTGCCTGGTGAGCGAAACATGCTCCTGAGAAGGTCCTTGGTGAGCGAACATTCTCCTGAAGAAGGTCCTGGTAGCGAAACATTCTCCTGGAAGAAGGTCCTGGTGGGCGAAACATTTCTCTGAAGATCCTGGTGAGCGAAAAACTTTCTCCTGAAGAAGGGGTCCTGGTGAGCGAAACGTTCTCCTGAAGAAGCTCCTAGTGAGCGACTGCCCTCAATAATGAATTGACAGTGTCATACATTGCCCTTTTCCATTCCACATTCCAGATGAATGATTCAGGAACGAAAGTTAGACATTAGACACATGTGCTACACTTGGGTATCTTCATTGTGTACAATGTTTCGCCCACACGTCGGCTTCATCAGTCCTTATCCAAAGAAGAATACTGACATCAGAAGCAGATTGAGGTAAACGTCCCATAAACCACAAACTATAAGTACATGGCAAAGCACTGAAGTTTTATTCAAAGATTTATTTTGACGATCTTAAAGAAATAATGATGGTACAAATCTGATGTTTTTTTTAAATAATATAATCGTGTAGTGCGTTTGGACATTTGATGCATTTATATGTTTATTGTTTGTAATGAGGAATAAAATCGAAATTGTAATTGAGAAAAATATAGGGTTTGTAAATACAAATGAGTTTTTTTTGGCTTGGGTGTGGTGTTTATTTTATCGTTAATAAATTGGATAAAATAAGGGTTCGTGTCTATTAGAAACCTACCCTGCATGATCTACTGAATGGTCCACTGGGGGTCGATCCACGGTACGGGTGGGAACTTTAGGACGTGTTTACTTAAGACACCACTGTCCTGTTCACCTAGCAGTAAAATAGGACTTAGGACGCTGTTTCCTTAAGACACTGATGTCCATGTTCACCTTAG